AAATAAAGGCCAACATTGTATTTGCCTTCACTATTACCCACTGAACTTGAATACGAGGTTTTTTTAATTGATGGACGAAGACTCCCATATCTCTGTGTTCTGACACTTTCTGAAACCTTCCTCTATTTAAATAATATTCGGTTCCTATATTCACAGATCACAGATGCCCTACAGCGTGGAAACAGGCCATTCAGCCCAACAAGTCCACACCACCCCTCTGAAGAGCATTCCACCCAGACCCATTCCCCTACCCCTGCATTTCCCACGTCTAACCCACCTAACCTAAACATCCCTGGACACTATGGCAATTTAGCATGGCCAATCCACTTAGCCTACACATCTTTGGACTGTGGGACGAAAACAGAGAAAATCCACACAGATGCAGGGGGAATGTGCGAACGTGACACAGACAGTTGCCTGAAGGTGGGATCGAACCCAGGTCCCTGGCACTGTGAGGCAGCAGTGCTAACCACTGAGCCACTGTGCTGCCCTATTTCTCCTGCCATAATGCAAAACCTCACATTTTTCCACATTATATAGCATTATGCAAAGTTTTTGCTCGCTCAGTTAATTTGCCTATCATCCCTGTTTGTGTCATCCTAACCACTTGCCTTCCCTCCTATTTTTGTGTCATCTGCAAACTTGCCTACAGTACATTAACTTTCCTCATCCAAGTCATTAATATATATTGGAAATAATTGTGGCACCAGTCCTGATTCCTGTGGCACTCCACTAATGACAAGTTGCCATCCTGAAAATGCCCCCCTTTTCCCAACTCATGCCTTTTGTTAGTTAATCTCTATCCATGCGAATATGCCCTATCTCCAAAGCCATAGGCTTATCTTATTTATGTGGTACTTTATCAGAAGTCTTCTGAAAATCCAAATATATCACATTCACCACCTCCCCATTGTCTGTCCTACTTGTTACCTCCATAAATAATTTCTGTAAATTTGTCAGGCATGCTGACTCTGCTTGATCGTAATATGTATTTCTAAACGCTCTGCTATTACAACCAATAGACCCTATCATTTTCCCAAGAACAACATTAAGCTAATTGGTCTATAGTTTTTTTTTGACTCTTTCACTTTTTAAATGCAGCTGTTAAATTGGCAGTTTTCCAATCCTGGGGACATTTCCAGAATCTAAGGATTCCTGGAAAATTACTCCGAGTACATCCACCACCTCTGTTGCTATTTTCTTCAGTATCCTATAAACAGGAATTTCGTTCTTAAACTGGGAGAGCTATCTACAAACTTTGAATAGAATTATTTTCATCCAGCCCATCTCTCAAGTCATACTGTTGCTTGTGTTACATTGTGGATATGTAGCTGTAATTCTACACATGAAATTGTTAATTAATTACTCTTTCTAAGCATGCATTAAATGACATGAGAGTTGGCAGCCTTTGTCTTTATTCTGTGTGCTATAGTAAGAATTGAAATATCCATCCATCTGCTTCTCTGGTGGATGCCAAAAAAAAGTATAATGAGTACCAATTATTAGCTGTTATTCCCTGTCTTGTGAAGTTCTTCTTTTGGGTACATGTTTGATTGGGTCATGTGTTTAATTGTGCCTTTTCCAGGGGATAGTGGTATTATCCAATATGTTCTTTCATTTGAGGCTACTGTTTATTGTGGGTTCACAGACCTATACAAGTACTTAGCACACCAGTTTTCATATTTTGTTCATCAAGTGGACCAAAGAAAAAAAAATAATTTCCAGTCATGTGATGTCTTTATGTCCTTGGAATGTCCTAAAGCAGTTTACCACAAAGTGCCTTCAGCAACAAATGAGGAGCCAGCCTGATCTGTTCTTTTCAGTGTTATTGTTTGACGATGAAAGGCACTGAAAGAACTTTCATTTGACTTCAAGCAGAGTCTTGCATCGATCTGAGCAGGTGGCTGAGTCTTCCATTTTGCACCTTGCTTAAAAGGCAGCACTACACAAATGCAGCTTTCCCTCAGTGCTGCATTAAAATGTCAACCTCGATTTTGTGTCCAACGATGATCTGTGACCACCAACTATTTAGTAAGGATAAACTGCATCTGGACTTCAAATCCATTTAATGACAGCTGCTACCAAAATCGCATTGTTGTGTTGATCACTACTTTGAAAGAAACATTCGATAGAACCAAGTTAAGTGGACCATTATGTTTTAATTACTGTTTTATGAAGTGTTACAGACAAGACAGGGAGGTGAATTGAATATTTTGGTGACCTTCTCCGTGGGCAGAGATGATTTTTAATTTTTCTTACTCCTCCTTTTTGAAAATAGATTGTGCAGTGTTGTGAAGACTTTTTTTAGAGAACCGCAGCAAACTCCCTTTTGGATTAAAACTAAAATGAATTTATTGATGTATTCAACACTTGGAGAATGGTTGCCATAACACACAAACACACAAGCATGCACGGAAGGAAGAAATTAAGGAAAATAAGTTACAATTGTGAATAACTTTAAAAATCAAAGACATGGGCATTAATTCACCTGAGCATGAGCCCAGGAAGTCACCTTTAGTGAAGATTCTTGCAGTTCTTTCAGAATCCTTTTTTCTCGGAGCATGGATGCAGGTGGGAATAGTTGAATCAGAGCAATATGATTCTTGTAGATAGGTGAATATAGATTCTTTCCAGAAATTGGGTTTCAAGACAAATTGTGCCTAGAAGCAGATTTTATCTAAGCCTTCAGCTGATGGTTATTCTCTGTTTCGATGTTATAAAGGAAGTAGCCTGAGAACAGAGTTTAGAGCTAATCACAAACCAGCAGTTTCAATCATATATCATCACACATGGTTCCTCGATGAGGTTGTTCATCATAATGAGGTAGTTTGATGTCCCTTGTCAAAACCATTGTGCTTCGTAGGATTATCAGCAGCACCTCTTGATGTAAAGCAAGGTTTGATGACTCCAAGAAACAAGAATTGCAGATGCTGAAAATCTAAAAAAATACAGAAACAGCTGGAGAAATTCAGCAGGTCTGGCAGCATCTATGGAGGCAAAACAGAATCAACATTCTGGGTCCTTCTAAATTTCTGGAGAAGCGTTGATGGACCTGAAACAATACTTTACTTTACTGACTTTACTTTCCCTCCACAGATGTTGCCAGACCTGCTGAGTTTCTCCAACTATTTCTGCTTTTGTTTGATGACTGTACCTTTATTGTTAGCTCAGATTCAGAGAGAAAAGCTGTGTGCTCCCATTTTCTTGATGAGTTTAAAGCACCAAACTCTACAAGAGTGATGGGTTAGCTTTGTCCTCTGGACGCTTTGAGAATTTTCTAGACCTTGGCCAACTTGCATATTCAGTGGTCGACAGCAGCCATTTCAAGTCGAGCAAGATTCCATTTTCATATTAACCAAGAGAGTACAGCATTTTTAAAAAAATTATCATCTCCCATCATGCCTGTGGGCAAAGCAATAACAATTTATAAACGCATCATAAATGAATGATAAGTGCGTGTGGAGAGGTACATTGAAGGGTCATTGAAGGATTTTTTTCCACAGCGAAGCACTAGTCTCAGTTCTGAGGAAGGGTCACTGGACCCAAAACGTTAACTCTGTTTTTTCCTTCACAGATGCTGCCAGACCTGCTGAGCTTTTCCAGCAACTTTGTTTTTGTTCTCAAGTTTTCCAGTATGGGTTTAAACTCATATAAACAAAAACATTTATGGAGTAATAGAGTTAGACAGCTTGGAAACAGATCCTTCAGTCCAACTTGTTCATGCTGACCAAGTTTCCAAACTAAACTAGCCCCATTTGCCTGTGTTTGGCCCATATCCCTCTGAATTAATTAAAAGAAGCACAAGCAACTGTAAAAAGTAATTACCAACACCCACTTCACATATTTTCATCCATTTGATGAGGAAGTTGGATGGATAAGCTTTCTAACTAAGCTTAGAAACAGAAGATAGGAGCAGAAGTAGGCCATTTTGTCCTTTGAGCTTGCTCCACCTTTCACTATGATCA